AGCGTCGCAGGCGGCGCCCCGGCGGCGTGCGCCCCTCCGGCCATGGTGCCCGGAGCACGCCCCCCTCGGCGGTGCCTCGGCTACTCCTCGGCGTCACCACGTGTGCGCTCCGGCTGCAGGCGCAACCGGGCCAGTTGGCGCAGCTGGGCTACGCCGACCCGCGCTTCTACCACGGCATGATGCCGACGCTGCCGGCCATGGCCACAGCGGTGCATTACCCCCCCGGCTACCCGGGGGCGTGCTTGGGCGCCTACCCCGCCCCGGGCCACCCCCCCGCGGCGGCGCAGTGGCCGCCGCCGCCTGCTGGTTTCGGATCATTCGCTTTTGCGCCGCCGTCCGCCAGCAGCGGTGGGATGCCACCCACAAGCGGCGGGATGCCGCCCACAGCGATGCGGCTGGTCGCACCGCCGCCGCCGGCGGCTCCGCCGACAATGGCGCCTGCGCCGGCCGTGGGCAGTAGTGCGCCGGGCTCGGCGTTGCCGGCGATTTCGCCGCAGCGGCCGCTGCCGCAGCCGATGCCGGCGCCTGTCCTGCCGACCGTGCCGACTGTGCCGGCGCCGGCTGTCACGCCGGGGCGACTCCCACCCCTCGAGAACCGCATCGCCGATGCCAGCCCGCCCGCCGCCGAGCAGCCACCCGCCTCCGTCGCGAGTGCGATCGCGGCCGCAAAAAGCGCGGCCCCAAAAAGCGCGGCCCCAAAAGGCGCGGCCCCGCCCGCGCTCGCGCCGTCGGCGTCCGCCGAGTCTGAGGGTGTGGACGAGGGGGCGGCGGCGGCGCTTCGCGCATTGGCTGGCGCCGGCGCGTCCTCTGCGCTCGTGGCCGCCTCGCCGGCGGCGGCCGGCGGCGAGACTTGCGCCTATCCCAACTACCCGCCGCCGCCGCCTTGCGGCAACAGTGGGCTCGCGGCGGACCGGTGGCAGCCATCGGCGGGCGACGTGATGTTGCTCGAGCGCGTCTTCGAGATGGAGCCGCTGCCGTGCCGCGCCACCCGCGAGCAGCTGGCGACGCACTTCAGCATCACCTCGCGGCAGGTGCAGGTCTGGTTCCAAAACAAGCGTCAGCGCGTGCGCGTGCGGGCGGCCCGGGACGGGTTGCTGCCCCCCCCTGGCCAGCCGCTCGAGAAGCGGCCTGCCGAGCCCAGCGACGCTGTCGGAGGGGGCGGTGGAGGGAGCGGTGGCGGCGGCGAGGCGGCGAGGGGTAGCGGCGGGGGCGAGGCCAAGGGCCAAGGGTTGGCGGCGAGCGCGGGCGGCGGCGCCCGCAGCGGCGGCGCCACCGGCCGTCCGACGCGAGAGGAATCGGCGAGCGAGTCCGCGCTCGACGGCTTGGTCGCACTCTTTGACCCCGCGGCGCGCGTGGCGCGGACGACCAGCGGTGGCCGCGAGATCTACCATCTCAAGACGGCCGCGTCAGGCGAGGGGGGCAGCGAGCAGGGCGCCTCGAGCGGGTCGGACTTGGTCAAGGCGGTGCAGGCGCGGCTCAAGCCCGCCGCCTTCGACCAGGGGCGGCTGCAGCCTAGGGCTGGCCACCACGGCCCCGCTCTGACGCCA